ACTGGTAATGAGGCCAAGGGCCTAGATTTGATGCCACGAGATGGCTTGATATTGCGCTTGGGCTATAAGGGGCCGCTCCCGGAGTCTGCACACCCCCGGTGAGCGCCATCGACGATAAATGGATCGGGCTGCACGCCGCAGCGATATGTGGATCGGGCTGCACACCGCAGCGGTACTAGTACTGTTCTATGTGTTTACTTTATTTCATTTGTTTGCCATTATTGTTTGTGTTACTCCACGGGGTATCTACCTGATTGCCTGGCATTATCTATTGAGGGGTGGATTTCTGTGCTTATCTACACTAAATATTTTGCATTTATTCGCATAACCGTTGAAAAAGTCATTTTCAAAAGAGGTTTGAACTGAGTTAAGATGTTTTCTAAAGATTTCACAGGTTCACTGCTTCTTCTCAAAGGGTTTTATACTGCTTCAATGCAGCATGATGATTTGCCTTACGTGATTTCTTACTGCTCAGTTATTATTTACCTTTATTACTCACTGAGTTGGAATACTCACTTTACTCCCTGCACCTCGTGTGCAGATGCAGGTATTTATCCACCCGTTAGCGGGTTTTGGATGATCAGCGACAGAGTTATAGGAGTTAGCGAGGTGACTGCCAGCGTCCGCATCACTGTTTTTTTCTCTTTTGTTCATTATTCCGATTTTGTATATTTTAGACCTTGTAGTTGGATTTACACTCTAATAGATGCTCGTGACTTGTGACACCCGATTAGGGCTGTGTTGGGTTGTACTTCCGCTAATTAATATTATTAAATCATATATAGACTGCTTATTCATGTTTAACTATTTTTGAAAAAGCGATATGGGTTTGTTGGCTGGCCTTGTCTTCACGGGAGGCGCCATCACGACCGGAGCGGGGTTTGGGTAGTGACAAGTATAATGGCCATAACATTTTACACACAACTCCAAATGACAAAATGGTTTGATGTTCTGAAAACTTGACACCAAGGATATTGTTTCATAGGTTGCTCATTTGCTGAGTCATTATATATTGTGAGATATAAGATTCCAAAGTCAACCCTGTGCAGCAGAGATTGTCGAACTCTTCCCGGATAGCATGTAGTGTAACTACCATAACTTTTTGTACACAAAAATAAATGCCAATCAATTTACCTTTCTGAAACCTAGACACAAAGGGCTACATCTTTTCTTTTTAGATCATCTCCGAAGTTCTTATAAATTGTGACATATGAGCCTCCGAAGTCAGACCTGTGCAACCGAGATTTCCTTCTTCGCGAACGCGAGTGTCTCTTCACGAACGCGAAGAACAAACTTCCAGAAGCCAAATTCTTCTTCGTGAACGCAAGAGACTCCTCGCGAACGCGAAGAACAACACCAAATACCAGATAATCAGCATCCAAAGTAGCCTAAAATGATCCGAAACGCACCCGAGTTCCCTGCGACCCCGTCTAAACACACAAACAAGTCATATAACCTATCACGGACTCGCTCGAGATCTCAAATCATATCAAACAACACTGAAATGATGAATCACACCACGAATCGAACTTAGGAACTTTCAAACCTTCCAACTTCCAAAACGCGTGCCGAAACCTATCAAATCAACCCGAAATGACGCCAAATTTTGCAGACAAGTCCTAAATGACCTAACGGAGCTATTCCAACTCTCAGAATCACATTCTGACCCTAACATCTCAAAATTCAACTATGCGTCAAACCTCTCCATTTTTCAAACATCAAATTTTCCAACTTTCGCTGAAACGCCTCAAGTTACCCTACGACCTCCATATCCGAATCCGGACGCACGCCTAAGTCCAAAATCACCATACGAAGCTGTCGACCCATTCTGGCGTCGTTTACTCAAAAGTCCAATTCCGGTCAAATTCTCACTGTTTAAATTTCCAAAATTAGTTTCCTTCTTCCAATTTGACTCTGAATCTTCCGTTAACTGAATTCAACCACACACGCAAGTCGATACACATATAATGAAGCTGCTCGAGACCTCAAACTGCCGAACCGGGCGCAATTGCTCAAAACGATCAGTCGGGTCGTTACAAAATTTTAGTTCTAAAATTTAATCATGATTTCCTTTTATTATAATTAATATTTATTGTGAAGATTATTATAATTAAGATTAAACAATAAAAATATGTCGAATTATATATTTACTATTATATAAATAAGGTCATACTAGTGAATTGACTTATATCGTTGCTATAGGCCGATATGTATGAAAATATAAACGGCTATTATAAAAATGATCGATATTACTAAGAATCACAACGATATAATTAGCATAGGTTATATGACTACAACCATATTAGTGAATGGACTTATATGGTTGCTATAGACCGATATGTATGAAATTAATATAAACGGCTATTATATAAACGGTCGATATTATTAAGGATCACAACGATATAATTACCATAGGTTATATGACTACAACCATATTAGTGAATGGACTTATATGGTTGCTATAGGCCGATATATATATGAAATTAATATAAACTGCTATTATATAAACGGTCGATATTACTAAGAATCACAACGATATAATTAGCATAGGTTATATGACTATGACCATATTAGTGAATGGACTTATATGGTTGCTATAGTTCGATATATATGAAATTAATATAAACGACAATTATATAAACGGTCGATATTACTATGAATCACAATGATATAATTAACATAGGTTATATGACTTCAATCATATTAGTCAATGGACTTATATGGTTGCTATTGGTCCGATACGTATGACCATAATGAATTAAATTATATAAACGGCTATTATATAAATAGTCGATATTACTATGAATCACAACGGTATAATTACCATCGGTTATATGACTACGACCATATTCGTCAATGGACTTATATGGTTGCTATAGGGCGATATGTATAAAATTAATATAAACGGCTATTATATAAATAGTTGATATTACTAAGAATCACAACGATATAATTAGCGTAGGTTATATGACTACAACGATATTAGTGAATGAACTTATATGGCTGCTATAGGCCGATATGTATGAAATTAATATAAACTGCTATTATATAAACGGTCGATATTACTAAGAATCACAACGATATAATTATCATAGGTTATTTAGCTACAACCATATTAGTTAATGGACTTATATGGTTGCTATAGGCCGATATGTATGAAATTAATATAAACGGCCGATATTACTAAGAATCACAACAATATAATTACCATAGGTTATATGACTTCAACCATATTAGTCAATGGACTTATATGGTTACTATAGGCCGATACATATGACCATAATAAATTAAATTATATAAACGACTATTATATAAACAGTCGATATTACTAGGAAACACAACGATATCATTACCATAGGTTATATGACTACAACCATATTAGTCAATGGACTTATATGGTTGTTATTGACAGATACGAATGACCTTAATGAATGAAATTAATATAACCGACTATTATACAAGCGGTCGATATTACTATGAATTACAACGATATAATTAACATAGGTTATATGACTACAACCATATTAGTCAATGGACTTATATGGTAGCTATAGGCCGATACGAATGACCTTATTATAAACGGCTATTTGACATCTACCTCATCAACGGGCTATTTGACAACCACCTCATCAACGGGCTATTATAAGTTTGTATACCGTATAAAAAATAATATTATGTATAGATACTAGACTTTTGATCTTCCCATCGTTTAAATTGTAATTTTTTTTAAATACGTAGTAGTATAGGTATACAGATATGAAGGCTTTTGATATTTTCATCCATATGAATTTTATTTAAAAATAAAATAAATACGTAATAGTATAACTATACATACGAAGTTGGTTGATCTTCCCATGAAAGAATGATGATTTATGGGATTATTATTTTGGGATAATCAATATTTATTAACTAATTTTGGAGGGGAAAATGGCCATTAAATCAAATATGAAATGAAGGACTTTACTTGTATTTCACCAGTGTGGTCATTATTGGACCAAGCTGAATTTGGCCGAATAACAGCTCTCTTATAATTGTGCCGTGAAACCATTTCATTAAGATCTACCTTCCTCTATTAATTGCATCACATATTCAACCCTTGTAATCGGTGCCGTGAAACCTTTTCATAATCAGTGCCGTGAAACCGAGAAGTTTTATTTTGTGTCTCATACAACTGACACTAGTTGTATGAGGCTCCATTTTGTCTCACAAATTTGTGGACCCCAATCTTACACTTCTGGATCCACAGAAATCTAGGTACACAAAATAAAATTTTCTCGTGAAACCATATCGATTGTGGATTATCATGGTCTGAATTGTCAAAAAACTCAATAATTACGAAATCATTTGCATTTAATTATTATTATTAATAATAATAATAATAATAATAATAATAATAATAATAATAATAATAATAAAAATATCTCCTCTGTTTCAATTTATGTGAACCTATTTCCTTTTTAGTCCATGCCAATAACCTCTTTCCCTATTTGGAAACAATTTACCTTTATGCAATGATTTATAGCCAAACAAAATATATGTGGTTCATTTTACACCACAAGTTCAAAAGTCTTTTATCTTTTCTTAAACTCTGTGCTCAGTCAAATAGGTTCATATAAATTGAAACGGATGGAGTAATAATAATAATGTTATAAAGATTTTATGTGGTGAATAATATAATATACATTGTTAAACTGTTAACAAAATGGATTTATGTAGGTACGATCTACTTTAAAAGTATTTTTTCTTTAAATATATACTCTTATTCACGTATTGTTAGAATAATTCCAAAAACATCAAGGACGTGTTATGCAATTTTGTTAGTCCTTTATCTCCGGTAAAGAAAACAACAAAAAAGCAATAACTGAGGTCTTTGTTTCCCAGGTACATTACATCTCATTCTTTTTCTATTCTTCAGTTCTTCAATATACCAACTTTTTTGTATGTTTATTTATTAAGTTTCCTTTTTTATTTAGATTAGATTAATACGCAAATAAAGGAATATGGCGGACCTCATTTCCAGCTGGTCTAAAGTAGAAACAGTTCCTCCTAGCCATTGTATTCCCTTGCATGAAAGACCACTGGATCCAGTTCCAATTGCTAAGGAAATTCCAGTCATTAATTTGGAAAAAGCTAAGGGCGAAGAACGTGCTGTTATTGTTCAACAACTTCGTAAAGCTTGTGAAGAATATGGTTTCTTTCAGGTCCTTTTTTCTGCCATACTCCCTCTGTTTCAATTTATGTGGCGCAGTTTCGACACGAAATTTAAGAAAAATGAAGAGTTTTGAAAGTTGTAATCTTATAGCCTTAAAAATCTGCTTATTTTGAGAAGTATTTTTTCTCAAAATTATTTTTAATGAGAAGGAGTTTTGGTTTGATTAATTAATTTGAAAAACACTTTTGAACAACAATTAGTGTTTGACCAAGCTTTTAAAACCGCTTCTAAGTGGATTTTTCTCAAAAGTATATTTTTTAAAAGTACTTTCAGAGAGAAACTACTTTTTTCTGCTTCTCAAAACGCTTATTTTTCTTCCAAAAGCTTGGCCAAACACTTCCACTGTGGAAAAAAAAATATTTTTTTTAAAAGTGCTTGTAAGATTGAAGAAGCTTGGCAAACATGCTATTAGACATTTCGTAATATTTGTGTGGCTATAAAAATTTTTTTACACAGATAATCAGTCATGGAGTACCGGAAGATCTAATGAAGGAGGCAATGAAAGTGTATCGGGAATTCTTCAGTTTGCCGGTGGAAGAGAAAGCGAATTACGCGAAAGAAGCAACAAATAATACATCAAGAGGTGCAGCAACACTGTATAGTAGCAATGCCAAGCATTATGATTCAGAGGAGCATCGTTATTGGAGGGATGTATTAGAACACAGTTGCAATGTTGACGGGGAAGACAAAAATACTTGGCCTCATAACCCTCCAAGATATAGGTACCTATTTTCTTTTCCCTTCTTTCTTGCATGACTCAAAATGTTACGGCCATGTGACCAGGAGGTCAAGGGTTCGAGCCGAGGAAACATCCTTCTGTAAAAATGCAGGGTAGGCTGCGTACAATAGATTCTTGTAGTCCGACTCATACCCGGAACCCGGGCATAGCGGGAGCTTAGTGCACCCGGCTACTTTTTTATTTTTATTTTTTTAATTTCTTGCCTTGTATTTTCATGTCAAGGTAAAATATGAAAATGAAATTTCAGGGAGGTAATTGGTTCATATTCTGCTGAAGTGAGAAAGCTGAGCAAGATTATCTTGGGTTTAGTAAGTGAAGGATTAGGGTTGGAGGCAGGTTATTTTGACAAAGATCTAAGGCAAAGAATGCTTGTAAATCATTACCCAGCATGCCCAGATCCATGTTTAACTTTGGGAGTTGGTGGACATTGTGATCCTAATCTCATAAGCATAATCCAACAAGACGCATATGGCCTTCAAATATTAAAGGATGAGAAATGGATTGGTGTAGAACCTATACCTAATGCATTTGTTGTCAATTCTGGTTTGCCACTGACGGTACAATCTCTTAACTTCTAGTACTAACAAAACAGAATGTACATAGTTTGTTGGAAGACTAATTCAAAGTTATAAATATCTCGATATTTTGTATAAATGCAGGTGATTAGCAACGGGAAGCTAGCAAGTGTTGCACATAGAGTAGTGACTAACACAACTCAACCTCGTACATCCATTGGTACTTTTATTTGTCCAGATGATATCGTTGAGCCTGCAAAATTACTTATTGATTCGGGTAATCCTCCATTGTTCAAATCCTTCAAATGGGGTGAAGAATTTCTGCCCCATTACCTCAGCAAGAAATCAGTGTATCACGCAGCATTGGAGCCTTTTAAAATCGAGGTTTAAGCATTGTGTGTGTAATGGATGAGAGTTGCTTCTACTACTCTTTCTGTTTTCCTCAATAAGAGCATTACGTGTGTTATCTTTGTACTGTAACTTGTAAACCATGTTTGGAGTGAGCCTATTATTAATGAATCAGAAGCTTTATTTAATTTTTCTTCTTCTTCGAATCTACCATGTATTTACATAGTTACATAAAGTATTCTAACATATTTTGTTGAAGAGTGACCATCTATATTTTTTTTTGGTAATTAAACTTTTTATTACCAAGTAAATATATACATGTATATCTCTTAAGTTTGGACATGCATCCCCAAACTTAGTAACATCTCTTCCTCAATGCCTACTCTAAGGATAATAGTTGAGCTTTTGCAAACTATTCCTCAATCTACTATGACTATATCCTATACAATGAATGTCTCTAACTATTTGTCTAGTAATATCTTCACTACTTCTCTTAATCTTCTGAAAGAGTCTTCTGTTCCTTTCCAGCCATATGTGATACACTACTCCAGTCATACACAGCCTGTACAACATGGTTTTAGATCCATTACCTTTCACATGTTCTATTGCCCACTTGATCTCCCCATTCCATCCTTTTGGTTCTCTATTGATATCCATCCATTTTAGTAATCTCCTCCAAACATCTTCAGAGAAAGTGCAAGTAAAAAATATGTGGTTGTGACTTTCCATCTCATGCTCACACATTGGACATTCTGGGCTTACTTGCATTCCCCACCTTATCAGTCTATCTTTTGTATATAAATTCCCCTGTACTGCTAGATACAAGATAAATTTCCATTTTGGACAGCTTCTGTTGTTGCACAGCAATCGACTCCAGTTCACCTTCGGAAATTCCCCTCTTAGTTGCTTATACATTCCTCTAATAGAGAATGAATCAGCTTGCACTACCCTTCCTGTGTCCAACCATGCTTCTGTCAAGTATTTTCCAGCTTGTAGTATCTTCCTTACAATCCGAGAAGCTTGCTTTGCATCAACTTCCCATGGTTCCCTTCCTTTTATATAGTATGCATGCACCCATTTGATCCATAGTTTATCTTTTTTCTTACCCAAGTTCCAAAGATGCTTCAGCAGAGCTGCCCTATTCCATGTATTGAGGTCTGTGACATTCAGTCCACCCTTAGTTTTAGGTCTGCATAGCATGTCCCATGTCACTAAAGCCTTCGTGCTCGAACTAGTGTCACCAGTCCATAGGAATTTCCTACAAATTGATTCAACCTGTTGAATGATCTTTTTTGGCAAGGGAAAAATCTGTGACCAAAAGGACTGTATAGCAATAAGTACACTTTTGATCAGTTGTACTCTTCCTGCATAGCTCAGAAACTTCACTGTCCACTGTTTAATTCTCCCCAGCATTTTGTCTAGCAATGGTTGGCATTGGCTTACTGATAGCTTTTTTGTACTTAATGGAACACCTAAGTATCGAAAAGGCAATTCACCTATGCTGAACCCTGTGATTTGAGTCATCTCCTGTTGTACTGCACTTGAGACACCTCCAAAATAGATGCTGCTCTTCTTCTGATTTGCCACTAAGCCTAAAGCTTGTGAAAAACTGTTGAAGCACTCATATAGTAATTGCACAAACACCCTATCTCCCCGGCAGAACAATAGCAAGTCATCAGCAAAACTAAGTTGGATGATGCCCATTTTTTCACACCTTGGGTGGTAGTTAAAGTTAGGTTGATCCTTTAAGTTCTTCAAGCTTCTGGTCAGGTATTCCATTGCTAAGACAAATAACAATGGAGACATAGGATCTCCGTCTCACACCCCTTCTAGCATCAAATGGAATAGTAGGACTACCATTGATATTGATAGAGTAGGACACTGTTTTATTGCATTTCATAATCCAACCTACAAACTTTTTAGGAAAACACAGCCCATCTAGCACCTACTCCAGATAAATCCATTCAAGTGAGTCGTATGCCTTCTGCATGTCTATCTTGATCATGCATCTAGGTGAGACTCCTTTCCTACCATAACCTTTGATCAACTCATGGCTGAGTAATATATTGTCCATCAATCCTCTCCCAGATACAAATGTTGCCTGGCTTTCATCCACCAGTGTGTTCATGACCCTCCTCAGCCTATTTGTCAGCATCTTGGATATGATTTTGTATAGGGTAGTACAACAAGAGATTGGCCTGTATTTTTTTATTGAAGTTGGGTTCTTCACTTTGGGAATAAGTGTAACAGCTGCAATTTATTGGCTTGAACATTTTCCCAGTATTAAAGAACTGCAGATCTGCCTTAGCTATCTCATCTCCATTCAGATTCCATGTTTTTTTGAAGAAGCATGCATTGAAACCATCTGCCCCAGGTGCCTTCATATCATCTATACACTCGAGAGCTTCAATTACATCCTCCTTTGTAAAAGGAGCTATAAGTTCCAGCTGTTGTTTCCTGCTTAACATTGGTCCATTCCTTATCCTCCCAGGATGTATGGCAGGTATGCTTCCACATGTAGTTCCCAGAAAGCTTTTGCAAAAGTTAACCACTTCAGTTTCAATCTCTTTATAGTATTTTAAGGTGTTCCCCTTACTATCAATAAGCTTTGTGATTTGATTCTGACCCATCCTTCTTTTCATACTTGCAAAGAAATAAGCACTATTGGTGTCCCCCAGTTGTAGCCATTGTATTCTTGACTTTTGCTTGTAGAATGATTCCTCAATTTTGTCCCACTTCTCCAGCTGCTGAATCATCTCTTTCTCTATTTCAAATAGCCTTGATATGACCATCTATATTTTAAAAGCTTAAGGTGTTGGAGAAAGCATAATTTTATTTATTTACTTAATTATGATTATAAGAAATAGATTTTGGGTCCAACATAACTCAGAAAGCGAGCTAATAAGGTAATGATTGACCAAGATGATGTAATTAAGGAGATCAAATATTCCACTCATAATTGACATGGAATCTGACACTCTCCCCTCTCAATTTATAAAAGTCCAAAATATTTTCATCTATGAAAAGGACTAGCAAAATATGAAAAAATTATATTTTATCCTTTTCATAAAAGTAAAAATAATTATGGTAAATATTTTGTCCTCTCATTCAAGACAGAAAAATCAAATATATAATAAGAAATAAGGTCAAACACATGACAAAATCAAATATGGAGACCACAACCAATTCTCCTTCTATTATATTCTCCATGTATTAGTAGAAAATAAATATGACACGTGAAATTAGGTATGGCTGACAAGGTATAATACGTGGATCACTAAAAAGGTGACAGTTGGAGTACTGCATTTGAAGATGCACGAGACACAAGAGGCACGGGCAAAGCACTCACGGGATGCTGTTGCTCGAGTCTAAATCATTCAGTAAATAGGGGTTGAATGAATCAAGCAGTAAGAAGGGGAATATTCACGAACCTCTAATTAATGAGGAATAAGAATTGAAATCGTTACAAAATCTCTACAAACTGTTACGATTGTCAATTATAAGGGATCATTAGTGTCATTAATGTCATAATGATTCGGCCATAAAAGGGAGGGAACATTATATTTGTAAACCCTATAAAAGGGAAGAGAATTTCATTTGTAAGGATCATCTGAGAATATATTGGAATATATTCACTTTACTTTTTTGACTTTGCAATCAATTATTTCTTTACTTACTTTTATCTTTTCCTATCATATAATTGAGAAAGTATGAAATTTCTTGGTTATCAGTAATCCGAGTTCTTCTAAAAATAGGCTTTGACCAAAATACATACTTTTTAATAAAAAAAATTTGTTCCGCTGCCGGGATTCTGATAATCTTTTCATTTTTTAAATTCATCTTTCTACCAAACAATCATGTCGACTGCCAACGACAACAACCAATAAAACCATCTGAACCAGCAAAATCAATAAGAAGATGAAACTCCAATCCCTTCACCCCAAAATTTTCCTCAACACTCCCGAGATGGGTCACCTAAAAGATCAACGTCACATGTGAATAATCAACAAGGGGATGATCAATCAACTGAAGATGCATTGAAACAACTAATTGCGGAACATGTCAACAATGATCTTCAAGCTTTCGTTAGTGGATTACCAACTGTACCACCAACTCCAACTCCAAACAATACCGCAACCATAGAGAACCCACGCTCATGAGTTGCTAATTCAGGCAGTGGAGGAACTCCCAGCGAATCTCGCGATGGAAAGTCAGGTACCCCCAAATAATTCTGATTTAGAAAGTTTAGTACTAACTTTGCATAAACAGCTCAAGGAGCAAAACGATTGCATAAAGCAAATTCCTGGTGTGCCATCTGTGATTAAAGGAGTGGATATTGATTAATGTTCTCAACAGCCCTGGAACCCAAGTGTCGCTCCCTTGCCGATTTCGAAAAAGTTTAAGATGCCCGATATTCCAAAGTATGATAGGACAACCGACCCACGAGATCATGTAACTGCATTTACAACTGGTGTGAAAGGCCACGACTTGACCAAGCAAGAAATTGAGTCGGTGCTGGTCAAAAAATTTGGTGAAACACTCAAAAAAGGAGCACTAACATGGTATTCTCTTTTACCAGAAAATTCTATTGATTGTTTTGCGGAGCTTGCAAATTCATTTATAAAAGCACACTCGGGAGCTCAAAAAGTTGAAAAGATGATGGAAGACATCTTCAAAATAAAACAAGGAGATACAGAGCTACTCAGGGAATTTGTGGATAGATTCCAACGTGAAAGGATGATATTACCATGTGTACCTGATAATTGGGCAGCTATGGCGTTTGCAAGTAATCTAAATAAAAAAATTTCAGAAGCCATAAGGAGACTCAAAGAAAGCTTACGAGAAATCCTTGCTACAATTTGGAATGATGTTTACAACATGTATAGCACAAAGTTGTGGATAGAAGAAGATACTATCACTCAGTCGCGGGGAGATGAAAGAACAAGCTTGAGGCGACCAGAAATGGAAAAAAGATCTGGTAAGAACAGGTACGAGCGTTACATGGGACCAGCAGGATGAGGCTCACGTTCTAATAAAAAAAAACCGGAGATACGGTTCTAGATCAAGAGACGGAGATGCAAGCTCATCATCTAGGTTTGGAAAGGAGTGAGATGCGCGGGATAGTAATACCAAGGCAAAGATTGGTGATTACAGTTTCAATGTTAGCACTTCTGAGCTAGTAGCTGTTTTATGAAGTCTGGGAGATAAGGTGCGGTGCCAAAAGAAATGAGATCAAGCCGGATGCACTGGAAATATCTTTACATGTACATGATACTAATGTGAAATGAGTTTTGATAGATCCAGGTAGCTCTGTAAATATCATTCTTTTAAGAGTGGTAAACGAGATGCAAGCCAATGATAAATTGGTACCCAAAGCATATACCTTTTCTGGATCAACTCAAGCGTTGTTACAAAGGGGGAGATAGTGCTCACTATATTCGCATAAAGAGTAGTTAAAGATACAAAATTTCAAGTGATAGATACGGACATGGAGTATAATATGATTCTCGGCAGACCTTGGATTCATGAGATGGATGTTGTTCTGTTTACTTTACATCAGGTTATTAAGTTCCCTTCACAATGGGGAATTAGACAAATTCGTGATGATCAGCAAGCCTCTAGAAGTATCAATTTAGTGGAGGATTCAAGCATAAAGAATGACGTTACAGACAAAAAATAGCAATTACAGAATTCAGTAGAGGATTTAGCAGCACAAACCTCAACTGGAGATGGGTAAACTGATGTTTTATACTTCAATACCACACAAGGAGAGGGGGTGATTTGTGTGGTGTCCAATTTTTCGCTAAACCTAATTATGGAAGGACCTGGTTCTTCTATGTGTTCCAACTACTACTGTTGCAGAATAATAAGTACAAAAATTAAAGAACACAAAGACTTTACGTGGAAAACACCTGGCTCAAAAGGTGAAAAAACCACGACCTACTTCCCAGTAGGGCTTTCCCAAACTCTCCACTAAATCACTGAGCCAAAAATGGCACTTACAAAAACACTTTTGTAGACCTAGGATTAACTCTAATCCCGTTGTAGCACATAGCCTCAACTGTTGTGACAACTTCAAGTTAACTGTAACTTGAAAAACTACGAGTACCTAATATAATTGCTTCTAGATAAAGCTGAAAGGTACAATATGAAAATACCTACTATAATTGAACTAGAATAAAAGACAGACACTTGGAACTGGTTCTTCTATCTGGTTCAAGTAGCTTCAGGTTTGCACGCTTGAATCACACACAAATTGCTTGCTATTTTGCTCTTAATTCATGTTTAACTTTTGCTTATATGTGTTGCATGTAAAAAAGAACACTGATATTTATAGAGTTAGTAAGTAGAGATTGAGTAGAATTCTGATGCTACTCTTTCTTGGTGGAAGAGTTCTAGTTGATCTCAACCTCTAACTCCTTCCTTCTCGTAAACCGTGTTCTCTTTGAGTATGGAGTCCTTATCCTTCTCCAATATGCAACCTTTTTGATCAGGATCAAGGTATATTACTTCTTTCAAGATAAGTTTATCTCCTTCACGTGCGTCTCACATACTTAAGTTTGTCCATATCTGTGCTCTACTAGGATGGGACCTGGTTCATGTCTGAGTTCCTTCGTCAATCTTCAAAACTAACCTTTACTTGGGCCAACAAATTCTCCCTTTTTGATGATGACAAACTCTGTGCTTTTCATATACTTAGGTCCTGCTAGAACTCAGCTCAACATCAATGTCAAGTTAGAAATTTTTCACTTATCATCAAGGACCAGGTTCATTAGGTTATAAACATCACTATTCAGAATATAAAGCACAATATCTTTTCCCCCTTTTGGCATCATCGAAAAGTTACATAAACAAAGTGTGATTCCCAGACATAAAAAATTACACATGGCCACTGGGCAACTGCAAATGCATTCATGGATTAATCATCAATAATCAACTACACATATTCAAACTATCAAGGAAAAATAAATAGTCAATAAGAGCAAAAGCATCAAACTTCGTTGATAGAGAATATGATTCAGCCACAATCAACAAAAAGAAACAAAAACAGTTAAAACATGACCAAAACAAGAAAAAAAAAATCCCTAATCTGGGTCATTGAATGGTCTAGACAAGGTTCAGGAAATGAAGGCTAAAGAAATTAAGGCTTGGAAGAACTAGAGGGTTGGGTTTTGGCTTGGAGAAGGTGCAGCATGTCTTTAATAATGCCATCACTCTTCTCCTTTTCCTTTGTGAGCTCAGTTCTAAGAGCATCTCTCTCAGATTCAACCTCTGACAAACGAGTCTTCAGCCTAGCTATCTCAGCATCCTTAGCCCCACTCTCCTGCAATAGAGCTCTGAACTTGCTATTATAGGTGTCTTTTTAGATTAACCAGGTTCATTTGGAATGGCATTGACCTCATAATAACAAGTAATCAGCGTATTGATTCTAAAATGGTCTTCGGTTGTGGCCATCTCCCACTTCTTCAGTGGCACCTTACAACGAGCAAGAACAGAAGTGAGAATAAAACAATAGGGAGTGGCATGGGCCTTGGAGCCATTGATAACCCCATCAAGTAGCTTGATCATAAATGCATGCCAGTTGATCTGCCGCCCACTTTCAAGACACTCCATCAAAACAAAATCCATGTAGTTAGCAATGTGTCTTCTTTCATGCCTAGGCAGCAAACACTTGTTTACAAATTCAAACGGGACTTTGTGGCATGGCTTCATTTCACTCCTATACACAACCTTAGGCTCATTCACTTCTGTGACATCACAGAACCTCCTAGTAATGGCAAGGGCAGTAGGA